TTGGGAGCAGGTGAAGGTTTTAGGTAAACAAAAAATCTGCAACACTATCTGGTAATATGCTACTCTATAGAAGGCAGCTAGCTACCAAAAGTAAATCCCAACAAGTCTGACTTTAGCCACTTCAGGAGTTTTAGGGCCTGCATTAGTGATGAATTACTCCAGTCCTTGTTGGTCAAGGCCCAGTCCTCAGCAAACACAAATGTGCTGAGTACCACGTGCGCTGGTAAAGCTGAAGACCTGGCCTTGGTAACTTTCTGCTGAGAAAAGGGTTGAAAAAATTGAAATATAAATTGGAATGATGGGAAGGCAATCACAGTCTTGCTGACACTGATTTGCTGACTGCTGGTCGAAGCACACCAGTGGCTCTTTGATGCCCAGTGCTTGGTGCCAGCCCAGTTCTTTGGGTTACACATCCCTAGCATGAGGGCAGCCCACTGGGAATCATGTGTTCATGGGGAGCCCTTAGGAGAAGTGTTTCTATTTGCTGCTTTGCCTAAAACCAGCATGGTGGTGGGGCTTCCGGAATTTCATGTGGGAGAGCCAAGCTGGAAGGTCAAAACACACACACACACAGTGCATACTTCCCAGGCTGTCATTATTGCCAAACTTTCTGCTGTTCAGATGAGTACGAAATAAAAATATATATAGCTTGCTGAAGGAATGGAGTTGAGTCAGTGTGGTCGGACTGCTTCCTTCTCCTTCGCCCTTCTCTTCAAAACAGCACCAGGGATCTGTCTGAGGGTAGGAGACATCAGAGGCAGAGGTCAAAAGCAGAAAGCAAGGGTCCCCTGTTCTGTGACCTCATTTGTAGGATTGTCCCTCCTCTTACCATTCCAGTCAGAGGCATGGAATCCTTTTACAGGAAAATAACATTTCCTCCCTCCTCTTGCTGCTGGGAATTTTCAGGAGCCAGCCCAGAAGAAAGGTCCTTCCCTTGCCCATGCCCAGCAGCAGTGGCAATGCTGGGGAGGTGGCCCTTCCCCACCTGCCTACCTCTTCCTTCATAGCCAGCAGAGCTGTGGCAGCACTAAGCATCCCCCTCCTTCCCTCACTGAGGTGGTGAGAGTTTCTCCCTCCTCCTCCTTCCCCTCAGTGTCCCCCAAAGACCGCGCAGAGCTGTGGAAGGCAGAGCTTGCCAGCAGGCCAAGGCAGCATCTTATGAGCCAGCTCATCTCCATGCATACTCTCTGGCTCCCTAGGCAGACGATCTCTCCATTTCTGAGATGTCATAGAAAATTTCTGAGATGTCATCTGTATGAAGGCAAAGTAGCAAAGCCCAAAGCCTTGCTGGCTTTGATCTTGATTGCTCGTAAACTGCAAGGTCTTAAAATGCAAATGTGCAGTCAGAGAAATAAAGAGAAGTCTTTCATAATAGCTCAGGAACAAGAGGGACAGTGTGAAAGCCACAGGTCTTGGCAGTGCTGGGCTTTGGGGAAGATGCAGGTGCACGGAGTGTGAACCTTAAAAACAGCCCTAGAGAACAATGCCAAAGGATATTCCCCATGGGAATATTAAGGAGTCAATCTGTCAAAAACTAGTTGCTCTCCTATCTCTCTCTTGCTGCCTGTTTTCACAGCATTCTGCTGCCACCAGGCACTGTCCTTCCCAGATAGTTGGCTCTTCTGGAGTTGAGATGAGCATGGGGAAAGGTGACATGACTCCTGCCATCTTGCTGGACCCGGGACGCCGTGCCTCACCTTGTACACTTAGGGGTACACTTAAGAGTTTAAAAGTTCTCTACATGCTGCTCTTTACATTATGAACTATGGATTTTCTTTTAAAAGCTGAAGATGTGCTGTTCTTAACACAGGGAGGAGCTGAGATTTTGCATCAGCAGTTTCTTGGTGGCAGACTCTCTGTCAGATTCCTTATCCACAGTACTTCTTTTTGTTCCGAAGGCCAGAATCCACATCTTTCCTCTGTCCTGGCTCCACCTCCTTCTGTCACAGGACTGGGGCATCGAGGCTGCTCTTATGTCTCCAAACCTTACAGCAAGGCCAGATAAACCCCATTAAAATAGCAGTGTGTGGTAAGACCTTTGTCACTCATCAGGCTGTGAACCCACTGCTTGGCAGCCCTACACGCTGGCAATGACAAGCAGGTCTGAAGGAGCAGTGCTTACAAAAGCACTACTTTAGAAGCACTGTGTCTTATAAAAGAGAACGTCCATCTCAGCCTTCCAGCTCTGACACATATACTGACTGAGCAAGGAGTGCTGCTGCTGCTTCGCCAAGTGTGACCAGAAGATGAAAGCTGAAGCTTCATGCGGCGATTCAGCCAAATCAAAACTGAGAAGAAACTCCACCAAATCCCCCTGGAGAAAACAAGATACATCGTATGTTAGATGATCAGTCCCCAAACACAACTAACAAGTGGGTGGATGTAGTGAATCAGCCTAACAGCAGTGTCACATTGTTTTGCGTTTAGAGCAGGATTGTCCAGAAGCAGACTAAATTTCATCTCCATCCATGTGCAGCCTGGATGTCGCCTCCATTATGGGGAAGATTTGGGTCCGCTTTCGAACCCCTTGAGTTCCAAAACCCCTCAAGACAGGGGTCTGAGCCCCAGGCTGCAAGAGAACCATTCAGGTTGGAAAAGACTACTGAGATCACCTTGTCCAGCTGCCAACCCACCCCACCATGCCCACTGCCCACGTCCCTCAGTGCCACATCCACACGGTCCTTCAACACCTCCAGGGATGGTGACTGCACCACCTCCCTGGGCAGCCTGTGCCACTGCCTCACTGCTCTTTCTGAGAAGAAATTCTTCCTAAAATCAAACCTGAGCCTCCCCTGGGGCAGATGGAGGCCATCCCATCTTGTCTTACCACTTTTACATGGAAGAAGAGTCTGAGCCCTACCTCACCGCAACCTCCTTTTTAGGCAGTTAAAAAGAGCAATAAGGTCTCCCCTGTGTCTCCTGTTCTCCAACTTCTCCACTTGCCTGTGCACCAGCTGGTGCAGAACACACACAGGGAAACTGGCTCCTGTATTCACTCTGTAATATGTCAGAACAGAAAGCCAAATGCTCAAATATGCCTTAAAACAGGCAACTTTTAGGAAATGGTCCAGAAATAGCATCCGTTAAAAACATGGTGAAACAATTGTCTCCATTGAAAAATGAGGACTTGGGAGGAGCTATGTGGGTGGGGTGCCATGTACCTACAGCTGTTGACTGACAATTTTCTACACAGCCTAGAAACTATGTGCTTTCAAGAAGGAGGCAGAACAACAGGCAGTGCTTCTTAATGATAAATGAAAACATACCCACTGGAAAGGAAAGCACAGCATCATTGTAGCACGTCCCCCAAGAAAGGGAGTCAAACCTGAAAGCATGTAACTGAGGAAAAAAACTCCTGCGTACCAAAGGTGAAAAGCATGAGAACAAGCAAAAATAGTCATTCAGATTTCTTCCTTCTCTTAAATATTTACCTGAATTGTTTTGTTAGCCTATAGGGAGAATAGTCCGCTTTCAAACCTGCTGAAACTGCAAGTATAAGTAGCATCCACAGTCAGAAGTAAAACCACTTCACAACTTCTATCAAGTGATAAATTCACTCCGAATAGAGAGCACACATCTGTGGAGGAAAAACTGCAGTGAGCAGTGTGTGCATCCAAAAGCAAATCTTTGGTTCCCACGAGGATCAGGGAGCCTCGATGACCTGAGAGGTACATGGAAAGTCCTGACTGTGGGGCCTGGGATGTGGCTGCATCAAGGGCAGCTTTGTGGCTCTTTTCCTCTTTGGGGAAGAATGAGAGAGCCGTCAGGATCTCCTGGGACATCTCCCACTTCAGCTCTCACTTGACCATGTGTGCTCTCATGTGATGGAGCAAGCTGTGTCTGAGCACCAAATAATAATACTTCAGAAGTGAGGTGATACATTATCTTCATTTATATTGACATCATGGTAGCAGGGAAAATTTCCTGTTATAAACACCACAACCCCAACAAGAAACCATTGAACCACTTACTGTTGTGGCTTGCACTTCTCACCAGTGACCCAAACGTGCACATAAGAGCACATCACTGGCTAAGCTACCAACAGCAAAGCAGCTTCTCTACAAACTCACTGCTATTGACTAAGGAGACGAAGCTACTGACATATCAACATACTTCAGGCTGACCTTGTACTCCACACAGCTGCAACACTCACCAAAGTCCATGCAGGTTTTCCCAGTGTGAAATCCACAGTATTGAACATCTACATACTAGCTAGCAAGATTATCTCTCCCTCTCTTCCCTGCAAGAATACTTGCTCCTGAAATCCTGCGGGAGGCTTCTCAGCTCCACAGCATTGCCGAGGGGTGCTTGTGGATCAGAGAAGCATCAAGAAGATCTTCTGCTTCTGGATCTTCTCCCAATCACTCCAGTGGAGGCTGTTCCCGTGCAGAAAGCCAAATCGAGTTGGTGGGGCTGCAGAGACCTCTGAAGGATGACTCTTAGCCTTTCACAGTGATGTTCAAATCTTCAGAAGTTCCCAGTGTTATGTTGTCCCACAGCGTCAGAGGCAGATGGATGGGGGTAGGGGATGAACCCTCTCTGCAGTATTTCCATTACATTTTGTAGCCATGCAGCAGATGGCAGCAGAGGGGCAGTCTGCCAGAATGGTACCTGACATGGAAGTGTGTATGAAGCAAAGGTATGCCATTCCATTCCTGCATGCAGGAATGGCACCCATTGATAATCATCATCACTTGCTGAATGTTTATGGAGACCAAACAGTGGATGTGAGCACAGCGGGTGATGCATTTCACAGTGGTGAGTGACCTAAGAGACAAACCATGCAGGGTTTTTTTTTTCTTGCTGGTGAAAAAGCACAGCTAATGGCAATGACTATGTTGAAAAATAGTGCTTTGTAGCTGAGAATTTTCTCTATCAAATAGTATTATTGTGCTCTTTGTGTCTGATGTAGTTCCCACCAAAATAAATAATAAAAAAGAAGCACTCATTTCATAGCAAACTAGGTATTTACACAGATGAGAAAGCTGTACACTGACTGCTTCAGCTGGTAATATAGTTATGTTTTATTTATTAAAAAAAAATTAAGTCACAACTTTATCTGAGGGAAAAGTAAACTTGAATTTGCACCTGTACTCTTATTCAAAACATGAAGTAAGCACAGTAGAAGTCAACCTTAGAGTGAAAACAACTGTAAACTGACGTTTATATCACCGTACCAAAAGCTGAGTTAAAATAGAACAAAAGGAAAAAAACACAACAGTGAACAAGCATCATATTCCTCCTTCAAATTTCGAGATGTTGTAAACAAAAGCTTGACCTCTGTTCCCTTTCCATCAGTTGTTCAGAAAGAACATGAACTAGAAGATTTCACCTAAGCAGCTGCAGAAACTGAGCCAGAGGGATGAGACAGCCTTGAGTTGCTCTCAGAAACACATTTATTTTCAAAAAAAGACAGAAAGAAAGGAAGAAAGGAAGAAGGGAAGAAAGGAAGAAAGGAAGAAAGAAAGAAAGAAGGAAGCATTGACCACCTGAATGAACAGATGGGCTGCCCTGATAAAACATCCAGTGGCCATTCAGTTACCTGAGAAAAAGCAGCTAATGTTACTGGAGAAATCTTTTGAAGTTGTCAAATGGCATCCAAACACTCCCAGTACACTTAGAAATATGTGACCCCAGTGACCAGCCACAGATCTAGGAGTACATATTTCTGTATTAAAAGTGCGAAACATAAGCATAAAAAGTACACGAAGCGATAAAAAGGCACTTCCAGCTGGCATACGTTTCCCTGTATGCCACAGAAAATTGAGTCAGATCAGATATAATTAATTGCATATTGGTATACACTGTTAAGCAGGCACACTTGATTGTTTAACACAGTCATTTGCAATGCCAGCATAGTTAACGGAAGAAGAAATCCACATTTCTTTTGTAATGTTCCTAGTAAAGATGTTTTCATTTTAGACATTAATATAAACATAATGTCATGCATGCAACACCTCCTATAAATCATGTGGCACCTTTGAGCATCATGAGACAAGCAGGCGTCAGAACAATTGAGAGTAATTCTCAAGTTGAATCTAGCTTTGCATGCAAAATTGCAAACATCCTCAGTAACTGCACACCTGGACAAGCCAGATGTTTGTGTACAAAAAGCAACTCGATTCAAATACCTGTAGTGCTGCGAGTGAGGACATGACCCTCATGTTTTAGAAGGCACAGGAACTGAGGGGGAAGCTAAGTACAGCACTCAAAAATGAAAATTATTATTGCAAGAGGTGTATTTCAGAGGAGCCAGATAACTGAAGTGAAGTACCAGGAGAAATCAAGAGCTGTGTCCAACATTGTTTCAGTGTGATTGCTAAGTTTAGACTGACGGCCAAAAAACCAAAACACAGGCCTCTCTTAAGGATTCACTCATATGCTTTACACTTCAGAGAAACAGGCTGTGGAATATAATCTATTTTCTTTATCCCCCTTTTTAACCTTATTAGATAAACAAGCATCTATGGGTTGAAGTGAAATGCGTTAGTAAACAGCTGGATGGCTACACTGTTATGTCCTCACCAAACCTGTACCTCTAGGACAAAAAGGTCAAGAAACCAACAAAAGGTGAATGCTGCAGGGCACCTGAAAACTACTGCACACTGTTTTGGAATTTTAAAATTGTTTTTGTGAAAAAAAGCAAAAGAAAATGCAGTCTTTGGTATAGGCTTACACAGCGCTGCTGAAGTACTAGAATATCAGTTGGAAATTAGAGAAAAACAGAACTGTACTTCTGAGCTAGGCAAGCCCAAGCTCTAGTATACACACTGAGTAACTTGCACAGAGCTCTTCCAGGCTGCATACATGTGGTCGTTCAGTACATTTACACTGCAATCATTACATTAAATACAAATGAATTTTCAAGCAGCAAGTAGTAGACATGACAGCCTCTCCTACTTTGCTTAGACATTAGGAGAAGGAATCCATACCTGTGCAATCTGGAGCTGCCTTGAGTCCTTGAGGTGGCCTATGCCTTCAAAAAGTCACCAGCCAACACTCAGGTTAAATGACTTGTGAGAAAGGAGGGAATACTGCACAAAACACACTTTCCACTGGATTCGTTAGCACAGTTTTAAATTGCTATTGTTATGAATTCCTTTTCATGATGTCTTGATAATAGAAAGCAAGAGCATACCTCTGCCATCCATCCCACATCGATCTCACAACTCACATGCTTTCAGAGTGCTCCAATGCTTGAATTTACCAGATAGTCACTCTAAAACTGGAAGCTACCAACAGCTGAATTAAAACAACACAAACAACAACAACAACACAAACAACAAAGCAAAAATAATATCAAAACATACTTAAAAATAACACTCCTCTTCTGCTATCTTTTCCCTGGACATTTGTCCTTGCAGGCTGTCTGGATTTCCACAGGAAACTACCGTGCCTGGCATAAAATTACTCTTCTAAGCTGTTCTGTTCCTTATTCTCCAGCAAGGACATGCTTGTATCACCATTATTGTTTTCATTTTCGTCTCCACTGTCCTCCAGGTCCCCTGATTTCTGATGAGCAAATGTGTAAGTGTCACGGTCTGTTTCTGCCAGAAGTGGAGGTTCCTCTGTGTTAGGAGAGTGTTTTATGTCTTTTCTAAAGGAGAATGGAGGTGGAGAAGGTGGCAAGCTACCCGTGGGCCCATCAAAAGGCTGGTACACATCAACTTCTGGAGTGACTGAGCCATTGGATTCCTTCAGCAAGTGCCCATAGACCATAGCATCATCGATAACTGCGTAGACGTGGGACTCGTTGGTTTTCCTATCTTTTTGGAACAAGCGTTGCTTTCCAGGCATCTGGGTATTGACATTTGCATTGTATACACCCACCATGGGATTCTGGTTTTTCTTCTTCCTGTTTCAGAGTTGAAATGATTCACAGATCAGAACAGCGCATAGCTCAGTGCATCTGAGCTCAATAATGGCAGCTGCTGTTTACAAATTCCACCTACCCTGTGTCAGACAGTCTAATCTACCTGGATCAAAGACTGTACTTGTAATCTTAAGAAAAATAATTTATTAAGACAAGTTCTTTTTGTTTTTGTTTTTTTGTTTGTTTGTTTTTTTTGTTTTTTAAGCTATTTATTCAGTTGCAAGCTGAGTAAGCTTGCAAGATTAACACCATCAGCCATCCAAGTACAGAGTTCCACTTCAGTTATGCAGTGTACTGACCCTCTAAACTTCCACAGGCATTAAGAGGACCTAAGAGCCAACAAGGCTGAGTGAAATAGCAGATCCACTCTAAAAATCAAATGAACTTTCCCTGGTTTTGGTGCAACTGTCCTCCAGGCAGAAAGACCAAAGGCTGAAGTAAAGGGTTTTTAAGCCTATATTCTTAAAACTTTCCCTGTGCAACAGAGAATTGCACTCATAACTGCTCTAATCATTATATTACACAAATCATTCCAGCTTTACAGCTTCAGGACCAAACCACCTTGAGTACACACATCAGAACCCCCTAAGATACTGATAGCTTCAGACTCCCATCGCATGATTTGGGTGTGTTGGCTTTGCACAAAATGAGTTCTCTCCCAAAGGGCTCATCTCACAGAAGAGTGTTCTTACTCGGTTTATAAACTGTGGAAGAAATTGCTAGAGGGTCTGTAGATGAAAGACAAGTCTTTAAATACCCTAAATGACTTCACAGTTTGTCTTAGGAAAGGCTTGTCTAGAGTCACATGCAGCCCACATTCATCACAGTATCATTTCACACGAAGCACTGATAAATCCAAGCAATACCTTTACTTCTAGTACAGACAGAAGGTTGTGCCAAAAGCAAGGCTAGGCAATGCACTGGGAGCTGAAGTAATGTGACCCCAGGAATGCTGTTCTACTTTTAAGAAAATCAATTCAGAATAAAGCAACATTCTTGGAGCAACATCACTCCAATGCCCAGTGCATTGCCTGCACTATGCTCCACGCCTTTGTTTAAGGGAACTACATCAACAAATGGAATACAAGGCCTGCCACCTCTTCCATATTGTTTTCTTGAACTGCTAACCTACACACATGCTAAATTAGGAACTTACTTCTTCTTAATACAGCACACAGTGAGTCCAATAGCTGCAAGAACTCCAGCCGCAGCCAGTACACCAAGTATCACTGCTAGATCTGAAAGCAGACAAGTTACAAGAACACTGAGCATTTTCCTAAAACCTCCTCAGCGGTTTTTAAGTGCATCTGTTGCATGCAAAGAAGGAGTCTCCAAGCTGTGCATGCCTTGGGGTAACATAAGACAATTCCAAGAGGTTGGCAGTCAAGCAAGGACAAGCTCCAGCTGCTAGCAGTGGATCACAGACTTTAAAACAACCAACACTCCCCAACCAACACTCAGACTTAGCTCTTGGTGCAAGGATTCAAGACAGCTCACGTGCTGCTGAACTTACTTGCAATGTCTCACAAGCCTCTGGCTGAACATGTAGTATAGAGAAAAAAGCATGGAAAGAGACAGGTCAGTAATCAACAAACAAAATAGTTATTTTTTCACCAAATCCCCCTCAGTGCAATCCTTTCCCCTAAACTACAAGAGTTATGCTGACTTGGAGTTTTCAGAGAGTCATTAAATTGATCAGGAAAATCCATATGTGAGCAAAAATGAAAAAATGGTATATTACAGAAGTATTCATTATAGAAAATAAAAGGAACGAGGAAGAGAAGAAGAAAAAAAGAACGAACATTTCTAACATTTCTAGACCAGAAACTGTGTCAAATGTCCATGTAACAACACTTCTACAGGCAGCAGCAGTATCCCACAGATTATGCAGAAATGCAAACACGAAACAAATTTACGTGTATCTGAGAAAAACCTACCCTAAAAATGGTGTTTTAGTGCCTTGTGTTTTAGAGAGATGAAAGATAACAAAAAGCAGATTTTGCTGTTATTAGTCAAGGCAGTCTCAACAGAACAGTGAGATCTCCTCCAAGGATTATTTGTTACTCATGTGAAAAGACTACTCAGATTAGTAGATTTGCATAATCAAATCTCAAGTTGCTCACTAGGTCTTTGACCTTGGGAGAGGAAAAAACATCACTTGATCTTCTTATACCTTCCAGCTGTGATCTCCAATTTAAAAAGATAAAATAAATAGAACACACTGCCCTCCAGCCTTGCAATCCTCAAGCCACAAAAGCCAAACCCCCACCACATAAGGAACTCTCCTTTCTGCTCAGCCTCTAGAAGTGCTCACCTGTAACTCTCAGAGGCTTATGAGGGACAGGCATTTCAGGAAGCAGGAATCCTATAAAACCCAAGGCACGCAGAGCAGCATACAGTACTGTTTCCCCAGTGGAAAGGAAATGAAAAAAAGTGGAAAGCAAGCCACGATAAATTACAGGACTCACCTATCTGCTTTTCAACAAAAGTCACCCAGAATTTCAAGGTCAGTTGCATCGGGTCCACAGGCTTACAATTGGAGACGTTTACCCAGAAGTTATGATGCATATTTCGGGGCTGAGGCAGCAGCTCATCCTCACGGCGCACGGTTTCCTCTGCCCCAGGCATCTGTTCCTTTATGTTGAGGTAGGCACGCCCTGTCTCACAAGCAATGCCCATGCGGTCCGTGGAGAACCCCAGGCGGGCAACTTGCTGACTGGGCACAATGATGTACCAGGAGATGGAGACGTAAGGGGGTAGACCATAAAGTGAGTTGGGAGTCTGTAAGTAGGTTTTAGCTTTTGAATTTGGACTCACAGTAAAAGTACACTCGTCTGTAAGAAAGCAAACGTATACAGGCATGAAAACTTGGTTAGTTTCATTATATGTTTTTAAAGCTTTATCTTCCAACATGTAAAACTATATAGACTTTCTTCTCTGTAACAAAAAAACATCACTTATAAAGTATATTTCCATATTCTATGTCATTACCAGCAATACAATTCACCTATCATCTCCTCTGTATCAGTAATCATACAGTAATCATACAGACATATCTGCAGAATTTCCCCTCAACCATCTACAGCACAAATCTTTCCTTCCTGCAGAAATAAGCCACCTCACTCATTCAGATAAAGATCAGTTCAAGTAATGACTCCAGGCCTAGACTCTAAAGAATTGAATTCTTATTTCTATTTGTTCATATGTGTTCTAATAAACGTCCTGAAAGATCCAGCAATGGGGTAAAGATGCACAAAACGTTACCTTACCTTTAATATGTGGCACAAAAGACATTTTCAGATCTTGATGATTAGACTCATTGACGAAACCTTTACCAAATGTTTTTAAAGATACGGTGATATTATTCCTCAACTGAATCTTTTCAATGGCTCCACCAGGGCAGAATATACCAACATTCATCTCTGTCTCCGGGGTGGCACTAAAAATGTTATAGCTGTAGCTTGTGTTGCAGCTCTGCTCTGGGAGGTGTTGCCGCAGTTTCAAGGACGGAGATGTGATTTCTATATTGATCAGTTCGGGAGCTATGACCCTCCAAATAAATTTATGCAGTTGGACTGGCAATTGGGTGATAGTCTTGGGCACTGAAAGGGAATAGATCCTGCTCCCACACCACCGAAGACTCCCCACACAGCCTGTAATCACAAAGACAAGTCAAAACAGTTGCATTTTTTTCTAGCAGAGGAAGTACTTAGGAAAAGCAATAGTATACCAGAGTATATATACCAATGTATAGTGTATATACCAATGATATACCAGAGATTCTGATATACCACAGTAAGCACAGAGTCCTATTACATCGGTGTTACCGATCCAGATAAGAATTTACACGAATAGACATCTTCTCTTATTAAACTTTACCAAATATATGTATGGCTTGTAGTTTAAGAGGATTCCTTTAAAGGGAGCACCAAAGAAATGTACAGATACAAACATATACAAAATGGGAAATCACGTCTGCTATACTGCTTGCTTATTGGGACACAGTTGCAAACCAGCTAAGGTACAGACCTATACCTTAAAACTTTTTCTACTAGCAGTAAAAAGCATCCATTTGGTACAGGACTTTCCAGAATATACAAACAGCACAAGATGCATTCCTGATGGTTGCCTTGCTCCCACACGTTCTGGATTGATTTATGGCTTCTCCTGCTCTGTTTCCATATTTTGCAGCTTTCAGTAAGAAGATTCTTCCACATCTTTGTCATTTCCCTTCTACTAATAGCAATGCAGCTCCTATTTTTAAAAGCAGGACGCTGCAGTGAGTAACAAGGTCATCTCCACATTCACTGTGCCCATCTCCATCCGGCCAACGCCTGATTTTCAACACACACCGTTGTCTCTCAGAAAGCGAGAGACGAGGTTTAGCTGAGCAGCGGGGAAAAGCGCACAGCAACATTCTCTAGGAAACAAGATTAAGCCACTTTTGTCATACTTATGCCCTTCTCGGCCGTGATCCTCAGGCGGGATAAGTCCTTGCACAGAAAGGAAATCTTGTAGGTGGCGCCAGAGGCCAAGGTCAGAACTCGGTCACAAGTGCGAGGATCCTTGCAGATCAGGCACATGGGTTCCGATACGAGCGGGGTTCGCCTGGGCCACCCTTCAAAGTGTATTGTTACAGTCATATTCCGTTCTTTGCTGAGGTCAACCACGTGAGTGACATCTGCAACGACAAACATCTCAGAGCAACTGCTGGTGTGAAGGAGAATTGCCTCCATCTCTTCTCACACCATTAGACAAGGAGCTGCTAAAGCTATTTCTACATTAACTAAGAAAACATTATTTACTTCTTTCTATCCATGGAATAAAAACTCAGATAGTATCACATTACTCTTCCAGTTAAGTTTAAGCCTTTACATTATTCCCTGACTTTTCAGTCGTAATGGGGTGATGTAAGCTAGTCCCTTTTGAACAGGTGAGGCTATAATACAAATAGTGGAGCTCCATAGTAGCTATGTTAGATTTGTTAGATTTCTCAGAAAGTGCCTTGATATTTTCATCACAAATCTTGAGAAGGCAATAGTACAGAAACAACTTCCAGACACACAGAAGACAAGAAAGTGATCAGGTCTAGTCAGCATGCATTTAGGAAAAGGAAGCCACACTTAGGCAATGCGACACCCCCCCTAGATCAACAGGGCTGGCTTGGTGTATGAGGCAAGAGCAGTGGCTATTGGTCTCAAAAGCCTTGCAAAAGTTGAGTTGAACATCTCCCATAATATATATTCCCAAACACACTGATATAGACTAGCTAAGTGGACAGTGATGTGGACTACAAACTGCTCAACTGCTGAGCTTGAAAGGTTTGTGATCAGCAGCATGAAGTCTGTCTGGAGGACACTCATTAGTGGTCTACCCTACTGGGTAAGTACTGAGATCAGAACTTCATTATTGACAGATTAGAAGATAGAACACACCCCTTAGCAAGTTAGAAATGTTCAGGTCATTGCCACAATCAAGCAAACAACCTGGGATTTTCACCACAGGGTTATTCATTCTTCAGGTGTTTTCAGCAGCTAAACTCAAGATGAGACTGAAAAGTTATTTTGATTGGAAAATAGCTGAATTTTCCCCTTAACGACAAGCATCACAGACAGCTGTGGAATACCAAAATGTTTGGGAAGCTTTGAGAATGTGTAGATACCGATGCATTTTTAATAAGAACCATGCTTAACTTGCACACGACACACAAGATAAGTTTCAATATGTTCCTGAGGGCTGAATTTGAATTTTTGATGGAACTTACATAACTAAAATAACTCATGAAATCCCTAGAGAAGCCACTGCTCTTTCTCAAATCCAAGAAGTTTATTGCTTGCACTTCATTAAATAAACAACAACCTTTTTTTAAAATTTATTTTTTAGATGGTTATTATCTTGGCTATAAATATATTAAAATGATTCTTTGCTTTCCAGAGTAGAGCAGAGATAAAGGTGATTAACTGAATGCAATGTTTTCTCTCTGTCTGGCTTCCGAGATGTAATACAATAAATGTACACAAAGGAGGATTTGCTGTTAGTGAACAGAGACAGACTAGACAGATAAAGGACGGAGGATGAGAGTGTTGGGATGCTGCAGAACCTTTGACAGGGAGACTGTGAGGTGACACACAGGCCTGGACAATTTAATCAAGAAGGTTCTTGCAAGATAATTGGATCGGATCCCCATGGAGAGAACACAGCCTCAAGGAAATGCTGCCCTATGTTTAATTTTGTTTATTAAGAGTGCAAGGTCTGATATCACAGATCTTAAAGGCATTTCTCAGTTACATGGTGTACATGCTGGAAAAGGAAAGGAATTTACAAGATACAGTATAAAACCTACAGTGGACATTTTGACCCTGCTGCAAATTGCAAAGCTCAGTATTGCCATTCATCTTCCTGTTACAGTAGCCAGTGGCAAATAAAGTAATGCAGGCCTCAGTTCTGCTCAGCAAGCCACCTCCTTAACTAAAGGAGGGCTCAAAGTTCAAAAAAAGGAATGACGAAAGCACTCTTCTCTTCCTCGTGGAGCTCAGACTAAATGTCTATGAACAAAAGCAACAGAGCCAGTTTGTGTCTGCAGAAGGAAAAAGTAATGAATGCAGAGAGAGGCTGAAGGAACAAACCAGTACTCACTCTCATCAATCTGAGGGTGCTGAACGACGACTTGGAAGAGCAAGCGAAGGATGCCTGGGTTCTGAGCATCCTGATCACAGCCCTGCAGAGACAGGTTGAAGCTGCCAGCAATATTGGCAGGCTGGCTGTCACTCAGCTTAAACACCTCAGGATTACTGACAGAGCCAGGTATGTAATACTCCACCCTCTCCTCCTTCCTTTCGCAATTGGAAAGGCTGTAATCGTGGAAAAACACACTCGCTCTCATGTTGGAAGGGACTACAAACTGCCATGTCATGAGCTCATCTTCTGGAAAGCCCAGGGGATAGTTTGGGGACATCAACATGATGGAAGACTCCCCCTCCAGAGTGGATTCAATAATGCATAACCCTAAGATGGAAGAAAAGAATCATGAAAACTATTAGCAATTGGAGACAACACACCAGCATATGTAGCACTGCAGCAGCTGAATACTCTTATTTGACAGCGAGCTCATCCACTGCGGTTACAGGTTAGGTTATTACAAAAATGCCAGACTAAAACACATACTGGAGTTAATGGTATTACCTTCAATTACAGAAGAGGAAAGGGATGTGCTCACACTGCATTTTCAGTGTAGTGGGTTTACCTATCAAACACATGGATGGGCCTATATTTTTTGAAAAGGAAAGATCCTAGTCATCACTTCCAGTCCTGGCTTAACGAGAGCAACCATGAAGCTTGACTACTGCTTCCGCTAATACTGTTTCACCACATTTCATGAAACAAATACAACAGCTTTTAAATTAGCAGAGAGCTCTCAGTCCAAAAACTTTGGAGTTCTAAAAGAGCGCTCCAGCACAGAGCCTCAAATATGCATGATAAAACATGAATGAGAACCACAGAGATGGTGTGACATAACTTGGACTTGGATGAATCCCAGCACTTGGCAGAGCAAAGCTATGTATGCGAAGATTACAACCTTGCTCTAGCCAGTAACTATGAGCAACTGCAAGGAGTGCCACCCCTTACCTTTCTGAATGTCTCAACAGTGCCACACCAGAGCAGCAGTGACAAATCTTATTTTTTGTTATTGCGTTCTACAAACACAAACCTAGATCTGGCCTACAGCTGATGGCAATCACACAAGTCAATTAAAGCTCAAGAAAAACCCTGAATGAAGGCTTGTCATCGGATCACAGAGTAATCCATTAACTACTACGCACATTTCAGGTATTTTTAAAAGATTATTACACAACCTGTTATGTTACTGCACAGGTTGAAACAGATATCTGCATTTAGGCACTCATGTGCCCTCCAGGCATTGGCTCCCCTTTTCCCACCTTCCTCTCCTGAAGAGAGACATTAGAGACACAAACAAGTCAAGGAGGCTTTATTTAAAAATAAAGAAACATAATTACACAGTGCAACTAGCAAATAAGTCTCCTGAATCACTCTAGTTATGCTATCCAGTCTCACATAAAGCAAGAAAGCTGTTACGTTTAAGTTTTAGGAAGTTTAAAGAGATTGCACCAAAAGCAGCAACACAACAGTTTGCATAACCACTGAACAGCCAAACTACTGAGACACTTTGATCCTAGAAGAGGAATAGCTACTGAACACAAACTAACCACCACCACCTTTTCTAAAAGAGGACTGCATGGGGAAGGAAACGGGACAATAAACTCCTCCACGCTTACGTTTTATGGAAGATCTGTTGGCAATGTTAAAGCCTGAGGTTGTGAGAGTCAAGTTCCAAGGGAGGTGCAGAGACAAGATGACTCCTCCAAGCAGTTTGACACGAGACACCGAGCCATTTCTGCAGAAGGTGCCAATGTTGACCGTGGCTGCATCAATGCAGCTGTTGATGCTGTAGCTAACTAAATCTGGACACACCTCTCCTGGTTGAATCTGTCTTAATGGGGCAGAAAATTTCAGCTCAAGTCCAGCTTTTGTACTCGCTTTCACGTCCCAGATGAAAGTCCTGTTAAGGCGAGGTAGCCCTGGTGGGTAAAGATGAACATCTCCAAAGGGACACGGGCCTGATACACAGTCTGAAATGCAGGAAGAGAACAGCCATGACACACTGTAGAAAATCAGCAAGTAAATGAGGTATGTTACTTTCCGTTTCATTGTTTCTTTAAGCTCCTTCAGTATTTATATATATATATATATATATATTTTTTTTAAGTTGCACTTAACTTTTATTCTACACAGATTCAAAGACATACCACTCCTATAAGTCCTGTCTTCAAACAGGACTCCTGTCCCTTTGAGTAGACAGGATAAACTTGCTTTTACAAATGAGCCAGCTTGACTAACAGAGGGCATTTCATTCTTCATTGTTTGCTGAAGAATTTAGAAGGTATGTAGTTAACAGAGAACTAAATAAACAAAAGGGAGGAATTCAACATTAAGAGAGATGGAAATAATGAATCTAGAGAGCTGATTTTAGGCCACTGTGCTCAGAACAGTGATACAATGCCTGTCAAATCATTATGTTTTCCATTACTTGCTGTGAACAGTACCTTCATTTCCTTGGTGCACTGATAAGAACCTGGGGCCTAGATTATGCAAAAGTGGTTAAAAACTGTCAACAAAATACTTCAAAGAGAACCTAGAGAACTTTCATCAGAAAAATCCAACTTAGCAGTGCTTTAAGCTGGAAAATGAATCATATTTTTTATCTAAGCTTAAAAGAAAACACAAAACAACCATATATTACCAATATGTATCATAAAATATTATGAATATTACTATTTGCATGAATAAAACCCCCAAGTGTGAAAAGAACTGTCTTTATAACAAGGCCTGAACATCAACTAAAGAATAAAGAAGATATAATCAAAACCTGACTGCCAAATGAAGTTTGGGGTCTAGTTGATAAATAGTACATGCTCATGCCACTAAAGAATATGTTACCACACAGACATAGAATAGCTATTATATTCAAAACAAATACAGGTTTACTTCCAAGAATTTCAAATTTTCAGATTCTTGTCCTCAGAACCATTCATTTAATATAAGGAAACACAACTCCTATAATACATAACATAATAATGTTTGTCTTGTCCATACAGACACAATCAAGACATTCACTGAATAAGACGCATGACATTATTATCAATGCTCAAAGGTTTTTGACAGAGCAGTCCTTTGAAAGGTTAGAAACTGCAAGAGAAGGGATGTCAGAAAGCAACTGATGCAATGAAGTCTCGTTTTCAAAAACCAATGAGCTAACATTCATTTTGCCAGAAAGAAATACAGACTCAAACTTGAGTCGTTTGAGTAATTCAGGGCTGTCTATCAGCATCCAAAGTTCTTTTCCTAGCCAAGAACGTAGGCAATACCTTGATACAGTAACAGGGAGGGGGGAAAAAAAAAAGCATGGTTTTACTGGAAGAAAATCACCCCTGAGGAAAACGAAATAGAAACATGTCTTACCAATATTCTTCTGAATTTCCATCATGAAATATTTCTCAGGAGTGTTACAAGAGAAGGTTAAAGTCACATTTTCCCCTGGTCTTATCTTCAATTCAAACCTGGGTCCATTTTTTACACGAATTAGACAGACAGGTAAAACACCAGGTTTCATTTTAATTGTAACTGTGATGTTGTCCACTGCACGAAGGGAGATTGTGAAGGAAGCTAAGGAAGAAAAAAAAAAGGATAGAAGTGCTGTGTTACTAGCACGTACAAGCATCACCCCACATCTACAGAGACACCATGCTATCACAGGGAGCATTTACACCTGTCTCCTAAGTCTTGAGTGCTGGATCTCTATAAAATACCTGCAGCTCCCCCAGCACAGAAATCCACCTGCTGCACGTGCCCAGAGAGGCATGAATGCAATCTGTGGAGGATCACTTCTGCAAGTGTCAACTTCAACAACTCCTGCAGGTCGGACGAGGTATTCTGATGTTGCCAAAACAGACCAAGTGCCCAGACCAATGGCCACCTGTTAAAATGTTCAATCATTCCTAGTTACTAAAACATCATTAGCTACTGTAGCTTTGCTTGCCCTGCTGGAAAGCCTTCTGATCCTCTAGGCAAGGAAGAAGCACTAACGTGAGGAATATCTGCCCCCACAAAACAGTTTTGGGTATGAGAACGCTGGCCAATGGGTGCATGTGAGCATGGTTCTCTCCTGCCCTCCAGCTCATTCCCTGAAGGCCCTTAGCAATGAATACAGCACCTGAGGCCTTGGGTTGGCTGTGTGTGCCCAGATACCTCTTCACACCTGACACAGCCATCGGCTCTGGGGAGCACATCCCACAGCTTTGGGGAGCACATCCCACAGCTTCGGGGAGCACATGAAGAACCCAGTAGTGGTCAGAGACCTCAGGCCATCTTCAATCGTTGCTGAACGCAGGAGCAGCTCTCACACAAAGCACTGGAGCCAGAGGATAAGCACTGCATGGGAAGTGGTTTAGCAGCACGGGGCCCAGGTATGACTACCTACCAAATACACACACACAGAGTGCAAGGCACTAAGGGGCACTGACTGGATATTCAGGCAGACTCAAATCACTCCTCTCAGCAAACTGTGGAGACAAAAATTTGAGTTCCTGCTAAACAATCTATTGTGCTTTTAAATCTCCCTTTTAGCACCTCTGGATTTTTACAGCCAGCTATTTGGTTTTGCACGGCCTGGCCTTCATTGTGGGCTCTCCTGTGCTGCCACTGCAGCTTTAGGTCTGCACGTGTCAAAGCCCCATGGCTAGGGAGTGCAAGACAAAAAGAAGGTGCTCAAAATGATACCCAGTCGTGCTTTTATTTGAGTTTTGGTGCCTTGAGCCTCTTCTGGACTTGTAGACCTTTTTGGAGTCAAGCTCCAGAAACAACCCATGTTATCTGCTGTCAGGATCAAAGGTTTTAAACAAAAAAGGACACAAGTAAAGAGGCTTGCCAAATTTCTGCACTTACCTGTAGCAATTACTTTATTAGCCCTCTATATCACTAGTGAAAAATCAGGTCACTTATTAACCTTCCTACAGCTTTTAAGCTCTGACCTGATAGCTTACACCAACTCCCCAGCCAAAGGTAAGAACAAGTGACACTTGCGTTCCTGCTTTAGAAATGCTTTCAGAGCACTTCTCAATCTGAATTTTCCTGTGGAAAAAATAATATTAACAGTCATAAAAAGATGAGACGATATGAGGGAAATAAAGAAGGGATCATGCAGAAGGCTGCTGTGATGCACCAGCTGAACCATGAGCAGTGCTGTGCACCCCAGCACAACGCAGAGCCTGGCGTGCAGCAGGTAAGGGGGACCCAGGAGACAGGAATTTCCCTTGTGCAATGAAGTCCCAACACACACGCAGCAATCACAGAGGTGGCTTCCTGGAGGTGAGGTAAAGAAAACAGCTGCTGTTCCTCCTCTCTCTTCAAGGCAAAACAGCTTCCAGAACAGAAATGGCTACTTCCAGAGTAGTCCTGAGTATTTTTCCATAGCACTGTATGTTTGTTTGTATTTCACTGCACTTATTGATCATGAGAGTCATCATTTTTTGGAAGCTTATGCCATTCAGATATGAAGTGCTAATAGCCCATTACCAGTAGTTAATACCTATGGACAAAAGTGTCTTCTCTCTTGCACACTCGTGCAGACTGTACACCCCATTAGGTTCAGTGGAGCTACCTGCTGGAGATGCACACATGGCCAGGCACTATGCCAGGTAACTGCACAAACAGCTTGCTAAAACAAAACCCCACAGTAATCCATTTGGTCAGAGAACTGAGAGCATTGTGCTGTAATATCAACAGCATTCAGCTACTAGTGATGTGCTAAGTTACATCAAACTATCAGATCTCATTTTTGTACACAAACTGGGGAAAAAGAATCATGCAGGAAGAAAATACATCCGGCGATCTCAAAGAAGGTCACTAAAATTAAAAAGAAAAAGATTACATGGCTAAAACCCCAAAGTATAGCCACATACACAACAGAATAGAGACTACAGCAGAGCTTTTATAAGCATTGGTGAGTCTCCTCATGACTCACCCTGATCTGTCTCTATGATTCCCACCACATGCTTCCTATTTGTATTACCAGCAACCATCCACACTTCTCGTAACGAAGGAATTTCCACACCTTGTTAATTCTGCACAGATGACACACAGGATATTTGCAAAAAGCAAAAGCATTACCAAGGCTAGGTCCACTCTGCACAGTGACGAAATTGTTGGGCTAGAAGATGTCAGAGGTGAAGCCTCCAGCTCTGAGCTGCCCTGCATGGAGGTTGTTCACAGGCTGATACCTGTCTGAAAATATTTTCCTCTACACGATCACAGCTCTGTGGCCTTCCTTGACTATTTCTTCAGCTGACCAAATATTAATCTGCATTGTCCTGCTGCAATCAGACACCACTACTGCTTATCCTCATTTTGGACTGTGTCTCCACAATTGTCTCATCACAGCATCCCTTTATCACTCCATAATGCTCACCTCCCTATCAATGCACCCCAGTCAGATTTTACTCAACAGCATGATTTTTTGATTTAGAAACAAACTGTGTAGTGTAAAACAAGTGAGATTATTCTGCAGAATTCAGCTTAGCTGTAATAAACACTAATTACCCATTTATTTTGGAAGTCTCAAATATTTTTCCTGGGCAATGCAGAAGATAAGCTGGAGGGTAGCAGAGCCAGTGGTGCTCACAGAGAGCACGTGCATGAGTGTACGTACAAGGAAAGGACTTGGCAGAACAGTGATTTATAGCTGTGCACAGCGCCTTGCCAAACAGAACAGAAGAACAGAGTCCAACCAGTAGTCACCTCTTGAGATCTGAATGACTGAGCTTTATTGCAGCTATTTATCCATAAGGATCTATGGACGATTGTTTTGTGTGACTTCAATTTACGGAGTCAAACAATCAAAACAAAACAAAAAAAAGACAACTAAAACCAACCAGACAGACCAAAAAAACCAGAACTGACAGAAGTCACCAACTTCAGCCATTCTTAACAAGACAAACAGCTGGATCAGGCTGACTCAGACACCACTCACTACCAGAGACAGCTGAGGGAGGCGAGCAACTGCATGGCTCTTTGCGGATATGAAGCATCTGGATCCCAGCCCCTGCTCTACCCAGGGCTCTGAATGCTCTCCACTCACTTCCCTGGGGACGGCCTCAACCAACCCGTTGCTCCGTGACAGGAGGACAGCACAGGGACATGATGGGGACAGCTCCTGCATCCCAACTCAATGCCCTTATGGCTCAGCGAGGAGGTGCTACCTCTCACAGCCATTTCCCTGGAGCCCCTGACAATTTTCATTGCACTGTCAACTCCAACTTGTCAAAAATGGGTCATAAAATACTTTGAAGGGCAAATATCTCCTCAATTTGATGACTTGAGCCATATTCTAGCTGCCTTACTGAATACTTCTAGGTTTTGGTCCAGATGTCCAGTTCATCTACTGCACCTGAGTGGCCATGGTCAGCTGCTCCAAACCCAACTGAGATGCCTACCCATGCAGTTGCCTTCTTTAAGTGCTTCAAGTTAGCCACAGACCCTGCTCATGGTAGGGGGGCTGGAATCAAATGGTCTTTAAGATCCCTTCCAACCCAAGCCACTCTGTGATTCTATGATTCTACAAAGCACACTCTGTTGAACTCTACTCAACTACTGGACAGAGCTGTAAGCAGCAAATGGAGATCACCAGCACAAAGTGCAGCAAGCCCTGTTGCTGTGAGCTCAACCTTCTAAAGCAAATAGGATTTTGTTTACATTTAAAATGCAAACTACCTACTTTGCTTATTGCTTAATGATCACCCATCCTCCAACGCAAGATATGAGGTCCATTTTTTGTAAGGAATTGTTTTCATGGAATCATCCAGGAAGTTAAAGCTGAAAGCTGCAAAGCTTATACACACGTAGGGGCTGCTGCTAAGTGTTGCGGCAGGATCTCCAGCCTAGAGATGGCACCTGGCCCCCATTCCTCTGCCACCATGACACAGTCCATTCACCTCACAGGGGGCTGCACTGGCACCAGTGCAGGGTGGGGACACAGCAGTTGAGATGTCATGCACCCTGTTGCCTCCTCACCAGGGAAAAAGGTGGCAGTGTCTTGAGCCATCTTAGCACAGTTCAGCTGAGCTCTGCCAGCCCCCAAGGGCAATAAGACTGCTCACTCAGAAGTGGTTAAGTAAGTTAATTTGCAGCACCTCATAGGAATAAAGTACCTTGACTTCAAAAATAACTATGTCATTACTCAAGCTTCAGTACTTCTATTCCTTTCTATAGAACCTTTTCAGATGGCTCACTGAGACACGCATAACTCATGTGTGAAAGACATTTTTACAAGAAGCTTTTTTCACCAGAAGTGGAAAAAAAGACACTTTGGGAGTTGGCAAGTTTGTCTGTAATTACAGAAGGGAGAACATTGACTCTGGGCTGCTTGTTTTTATTTTTTTCTTTTTTGGTTATTTAACTTCCGTTGTTTCAATTGAGGTAGGAAATGAAACTCAGCAAGTCCTCTTTGCAAACTGGATGTGAGCCCCTGTACAATGCATAAAACTGAGAGACGTGGGTCTGTACAAGACACTACCACCCTGGCACCAGAAACACAAAGGCACCATACAAGTCACTGCAGGAGCCTCCTCTGATCAAAGGGATGTTTGCTTACACAGCTTATACCTGCGTTAACGTAAGGCAGCGAGAGGATGACATCTTGGAGCGTGTCTGTGCAGTTCTCCAGCCTTGGCGCAGGTTAATCAACATGGAGAAGCACATTTCACAATCTGTGGTTCCTCCCATTCCAAACAACCCACCAACATCTTTGTCTCTCTGCTGTGGAACTGTAGGTCACATTTCCACTCACCATTTACCCATCCTCGTATGTGAATCGCCCAGTTCCATTCATGGACACAGGACAGTCAGGGACAGTTCTGAAACACTGGCATCATCATGCTGCTCAAAATAAGTCCTTGCTCCAACTTTGAGTAGCCGCTCTCTCCTTCTGACCACACTCCCTTTATCCCCCAAGAAATCAAAGGGCACAGCTTCAAGCAAACTGTCTCATGCTCTCCCTGGGAGAGCATGAGGGACACAGTCATTCAGAGGCAGCCAACAGAACAGTCGCAAGTGGGACTTCTCTATCCATGATGAGACAAGTCAAGAAAATCTGTCATCCCACAGGACTGGCAGTCTGGGCTTTCAGAAGCAGGTGAGACAAAAAAGGCAGCTCAGGGGAGACCTTACTGCTCTCTGCAGCTTCCTGAAAAGAGGCAAGGTGGGAGTTGGCCTCTTCTCCCAGGTAACAGCGATAGGGAGAGAGTGAATGGCCTCAAGCTGCCCCAGGGGAGGTTCAGGATGGATATTAGGAAAAATCTCTTCTCAGAAAGAGCAGTGAGGCAGTGGCACAGGCTGCCCAGGGAGGTGGTGCAGTCACCATCCCTGGAGGTGTTGAAGAACCGTGTGGATGTGGCACTGAGGGACGTGGGCAGTGGGCATGGTGGGGTGGGTTGGGGGTTGGACTAGGTGATCTTAGAGGTCTTAATGATTCCATGAAAATACACATCTACCAGAGGTTATGGCAGGTTTGTTCAACTGGCAGGTCCCATCAATACTACATACATTGGCCAGATTCAGCTCACCTCTACCATTACCTAATACAGAAACCAAAGGTTTTGCTCTGATGTAACAGCCAGCAGCTAAGTACAGCACAACCAACATCCTTTCCATCACACCCTAGTGGCACAGGTAGGCACGGAACAAAAGGAACCCTCAGTCTGAGTTTTTTCAGGAGTCCTCAAGTGGAGGCTGAGGCCAGAGAGCACCAAGGGGCACCCAGAGACATTGCAGTAGACATAGGAAGGAAAGTGCCCATTGGTTCAGTTCCCTTTGGCAGCAAGCAAAGGCTGTCACCAGCTACAGTCTGACTGGTTACAGCCCACACCAGTTTGAACATAAGAGGATGCAGCTCTACACACGTCTGCTCTTTTCCCACATCTTCCTTAAGCTTCCCAGGACCTGGGGAAAGCCAT